TATAATAAAGATGTTAACATAAAATGGATGACGGAAAAGGGGTTCGGAGAGGTAACAAAAAAGACAAAATTTATTAAGAGCAGCAAAGGACAGGAAATTGTGGAGAGCCATGATCGCCAACGTTCTGATGGGTCACGGCAAATACAAAAGAGAACTAGAAGCTTGGGTAAATGGATGGCAGAAAATGGTTTGGGAGAGATGACAAAAAAGACAAAATTTATTAAGAGCTATAAAGCACACGAAATTGGGGAGAGCCATGATCGCCAAAATTTTGATGGGTCACGGCACATAGAAAGAAGAAGGGGTTTAAGCAAATGGATGGCAGAACATGGTTTGGGAGAGATGATAAAAAAAGACAAAATTTATTAAGAGCTATAAAGGACAGGAAATTGTGGAGAGCCATCATCGCCAATATTCTGATGGGTCACGGCACATAGAAAGAAGAACGAGTTTGAATAAATGTATGGCAGGACAGGGTTTCGGAGAGATAACAAAAAAGACAAAATGTATTAAGAGCAGCATAGGACAGGAAATTGTGGAGAGCCATGATCGCCAACGTTCTGATGGGTCACGACACATAGAAAGACGAAATGTATGTATAAAATAAAATAAATTTTATATAAAATAAAATTTATATAAAGGGTTTTGGAGATAGAAAAAGACAAAATTTATCAAGACGTACAAAAGGCAGGAAATTGTGGAGAGCCATGATCGCCAACGTTCTGATGGGTCACGACACATAGAAAGACGAAATGTATGTATAAAAATAAAAATAAATTTTATATAAAATAAAATTTATATAAAGGGTTTTGGAGAGATAGAAAAAGACAAAATTTATCAAGACGTACAAAAGGCAGGAAATTGTGGAGAGCCATGATCGCCAACGTTCTGATGGGTCACGGCACATAGAAAGGATCTTGAATAAATGGATAGCAGAACATGGTTTGGGAGAGATGACAAAAAGACAAAAATTATTAAGAGCTACAAAGGACAAGAAATTGTGGAGAGCCATGATCGCCAACATTCTGGCGCCAACGGGTCATGGCACATAGAAAGAAATACGAGCTTGAATAAATGGATGGCAGGACAGGATTTCGGAGAGATAACAAAAAAGACAAAATTTATTAAGAGCAGCAAAGAACGGGAAATTGTGGAGAGCCATGATCGCCAACGTTCTGATGGGTCACAGCACAGAGAAAGACGAAATTTATATATAAAAATAAAATAAAAATAAATTTTATATAAAATAAAATTTATATAAAGGGTTTTGGAGAGATTGCAAAAGACAAAATTTATTAAGACCGACAAAGGGCAGGAAATTGTGGAGAGCCATGATCACCAAAGACCTGAATGGACACATTACAAAGAAGAAGAAATTACAACACTTAGCATTCTCCGTAGTTTACCTTGACTTTCACAGTTAGCCTGAAGAATATTTATGAGCGATTTTAAATTTTCAAAGTTTTCCACTTTTTGTCCAGTGTATCTGACGGGACACAGGAATAGCAAAAGACGGTCTTTCAGAAACTAAACAAAATATTAAGGGGATAGAAAATCGCCCTTAAAAACAAAATTGTAATATTGTTAGGACTATTGTAATGGACTCTCCCATAGATAATAAGTAGGAGTAGCAGTGACAAGTCTGGCAGAATGGTGTTGAGCGCGTCAGTCGAGATTCGGACATTTGAAGTACCAACCATCACAACTAGATTGCTGCGCCATTGACTCTTTTTTTCCAAGTTCCTAACGTTTTGTACGTCGGACCTAATTTAGGACGACTTATTAGAAAAAACAAGCCTCCACTGTGAAAATACTCCACAACAAATATCTAATCTTCAATATGGCAATGAATGCTGGACAATCTCCACTCAGATAAAGAAGAGACTTGAAGCAACAGAGACGTGGTTCTACAGAAAGATGCTAGGAATACCATAGACGTCAGATATGTGGCTATACCAAAGAAAATACAATGAACAAAAGATAAGGAACTAAAAAGAAATTGTTATTAACAATAAAAAAAGAGACTGCTGAAATTTCCGGGATAGACAATGAGGAAAGGTGGTTTGGAGAATTTAATACTCACAGGACTTATTTAAAGCAAAAGGAGAAGGGAAAAATGATGAGTTGCCTTCATAACGAGATTCTTTCAATGGGTGTCAGAGCAAGGAGCAGGGCAGTTTAATAGGAAACAATTACTTCGGGAAACGAAAGAAAGTTGTGGAGAGCCATAATCACTCACGTCCTGAACGAACAAGAGGTTAGTGTAAAGTTCTTGGTCAGACCTCCTTCCTAAAATCTGACCGAATATTAGATGTATGCTTTTTTGTTGTTGCTATTGTTTCTTGTTTTGTTTTTTGTTTTTTGTTTTTTTTTAATCTTTTTCTTGGTCAGGCCAAGACCTTTTCCAAATTCCACTCGTATTTGCTTGACATTGCAATTCACTCCCAACTAATCACCGCTCTCCATAGCAACCAAGAGAAAACAAGTCTGCCCGCAAGCTTTGGGTGTAGGTTTTCTTATAAATGCTCCTCGGTGTAGGCGGGGCGGGAAGTTTATTCTCTTTCTTTTTTTAGACCAAAATTAATAAGCAGATAAACTGACCATCCATCTTAGTTAACAAATCCTGTTTGTTATATAAACCATATGCCAGAATATTTTTACAGTCCTCTTCTCTCATTAATATATATATATATATATATATATATATATGTGTGTGTGTGTGTGTGTGTGTGTGTGCAGGTATGTAGAAAAATAGGAAAGAACACGTTAGGTAAATAATCCAGGGTTCTTTAGTAATTTTGTTTTTATTTTTAAAAAAAAACAGTGCTCCATACAGAAGTAGAGCTTATATTATAATCATTTTTTTAAAAAATATGATTCCTTCGCTACATAAGAGTTCTCATGTTTCAAAAACGAGAGCCGAAACCATCTTCACGACTGCCCTTATACATACTTATATATATATATATATATATATATATATATATATGTGTGTGTGTGTGTGTGTGTGTGTGTGTGTGTGTGTGTGTGTGTGTGTGTGTGTGTGTGTGTGCAGGTATGTAGAAAAATAGGAAAGAACACGTTAGGTAAATAATCCAGTGTTCTTTAGTATTTTTGTTTTTATTTTTAAAGAACAGTTCTCCATACAGAAGTAGAGCTTAGATTATAATTATTTTTTTAAAAAATATGATTCCTTCGCTACATAAGAGTTCTCATGTTTCAAAAACGAGAGCCGAAACCCTCAATATAATTATTAAAATTAAATTGAATTAAAGTAACAAGCCCTATTTCATAGTTTAATGAAAGGCTAAAAAGCTTAACCCAATCATTAAAGGGAAAAACCCTTTATGAAGTCGTCAAAAAAACAAATTGTGGTTCAGTGCGACGCATCTATATATGAATCAGCCCGTTGAAAATAAATAAATAAATAAAATAAAATAAAACAAAATTATCCAGGCATTTAACAACATACCATAGTATGTTGTTAAGTGTCTGGATAATTTTGTGCCAAAATCTCTCTTTCTCTGTGAATGAACAGACGATGCGCGTACAAGAAAGACATAATTCGCTTTGAAATAGACACCCCACCCTACCTCAGCATGACCTCTCCCTGAAGGTGACTGATATGTGGATAAAAATTAACTCTTATCAAAAATGGTCGCCCCAGCCGTTTCCATAGTAACGAATGAACATGCTTATAACGATACGTAAACTTCAAAATTGGTTATTCCTAAATTTTCGCTTGAGGATGAAACAGGGCTTGTTACTTTAATTCAATTTAATTTTAAGAATTGTATTAACGAAAATCTTGGTAATCCGTATGGATAATCCCAATCCTTTCCCATATCATTTCCTTTGAGTTGGCCGATTAAATAGGTCAATGTCTGATCCTTACCCCCCTCCTTCCTCAATATTAAGTATTATAATAAAAAGAAACATAAAAATAAATTTTAAAACTCTCCCTTCCCTCTCTAAGCTCGACCATATCTCTCATACCATTCCTCACCACCCTCTATGTCAACTTATATAAGCTTAATACTGCCCGTCAAAAGTATAAATTTTAAATTCATTTTTCGTTTCACCTTTTGAAAGTGATGTCTGAAGATCCAGAGAAAAAAAAATTCTCTGGTGAAATAAATTATTACAATGGAGCCTTAAAGTGGTCTGTTTTTTTTTTTAAATTAAATTAATATATATATATATATATATATATATATATATATATATATATATATCCCAGCCTGAATATTCATGAAATAATATTTTTTTTCAAAATATGCGGCAGAATTCGAATGTGTGTTCCCCTGGGCAAAGAGATAGTTAGATCCGATGTGATCTCCACCGACTGAGCTACAAAGAAATTAGCAGATAACGAGGTTGAACATTGTCTTTAAGCGAGATTCTCGTCTTAGAACTCCACGAAATTTTAATATCTGTTTAGTTTCGTATCCAAACGTGAACAAAGCAATTTTCTAAAGAAGTAATGGATTGTTCTATCTATTAATCCGATAGAATTTTTCACTTGAAGCGACGGTTCCCTCCATACAGGGTTGGGCAACGCAGGTTCGAATCCTGCCGGAAAGCGTATATCTTTCTTTATCTCTCTCGATATGATCATATATATAGATCTCATCTTTTTCTATCAATTAAAATCACTTTTCAGCAATATAAATAACAGTAATCGTAGACCCCAAATTGATGATTACGATTCATTTTTTAGCCTGTTTCTTTCTATCTATGTCAGTCCATTCAACTCTTTCTCTTCGTCTCTATCTCAGTCTGTTCACCTCTTTCTGTCTATTTTTGTTTCTTCATATCTATCTATCTATCTATCTATATATATATATATATATATATATATATATATATATATATATATATATATGTCAGTTTGTTCTTACATATCTCAGTCTGTCCCTAGCTGAGTCTGTTATATCTATATTATATCAATCGATATATTATCGTTCTATCCTTAAAACCAAGTCGTGTCCTATCTAACTATGGACGCTCCTATCTCCGTCTGTTCATATTCCCTCTCTTTCTCTCTCTCCCTCTCTCTCTCTCTCTCTCTCTCTCTCTCTAAATCACTATATGTGAGAGAATAGAAAAGTTCAGAGCAGATAACATTAGAAAGATTTTAGAGTTCCATGAAAATAAGTGGATACAACGTTTAAAAACACACTATCCAACCGGGCTAAACCATAAATTTAACAATATAGATAGTATTAATATATAACTTTACAAATCAAAACCTACCCACATTTCTCACCCACACAAGACAGACATGCTTACTGAGGTGTTAAGGCCTCACACTTATACACACGCCCACACGAATATACACACTTACACACATTATACTCACTCACTCCCTAACGAGCCAAATGATAACACACACCCACAGCAATATACACGCTTACACATATCATACTCACTCACTCCCTAAGAACCAAATAACACACACACACACACACTTAATAGAGACACCACCCCCAGGACCAATAAAACTGTCAAGCTGACAGGGGAATTCAGAGAAGCATAGATCCATCCAGCTCTTATCTCAAATAACAACTTAAAAGAGACTGTTTCACCAACACAAGGTATGTTAAAAGATTCATGTTAAAAAGATAAGAAAATAAAAAAAAACAAATGAAAACTACAGACAAAAGTTCATTTTCTCCAGCAAAAGATTCATTTCTGTACTTTACAGCTACCACCAAGCAGAAATATTTCTTCTCCTGATGATGGCCATTTTGGCCGAAACTAGTCGAGGAATCTAAATGAAATAATAATAATAATAATAATAATAACGAAAGAATATTAATCTACAACCCAGTGTGTCTGAAGATTTTAATTTTTTAATATTTTTTATTGTTATATATATATATATATATATATATATATATATATATATATGCCTTTGTTGTATTGTACGTCAGCAGCTAAGAAGCAAAACAGAATCGTTTGTTTGCTTATCGAGTGTATACTCCTAAAAACGACACAATTGACTCGGTGCACGTTCGTTCCAACCCACCCGTAAATACCAAGCTCTTCTTTTTTGCTCTGTATTTTCCACCCGATTCTACTCACTCCTTTCTACCTGATTCTACTCTCTCTATTCCACCCGATTCTACTCTATCCTTTCCACCCGATTCTACACTCTCCTTTCCACCCGATTCTACTCTATCCTTTCCACCCGATTCTACACTCTCCTTTCCACCCGATTCTACTCTCTCCTTTCTACCTGATTCTACCCGCTCCTTTACACCGATTCTACTCTCTCTATTCCACCCGATTCTACTCTCTCTATTCCACCCGATTCTACTCTATCCTTTCCATCCGATTCTACACTCTCCTTTCCACCCGATTCTACTCTCTCCTTTCTACCTGATTCTACCCGCTCCTTTACACCCGATTCTACTCTCTCTATTCCACCCGAATCTACTCTCTCTATTCCACCCGATTCTACTCAATCCTTTCCACCCGATTCTACTCTCTCCTTTCCACTCGATTCTAACCTCTCATTTACACCCGATTCTACTCTCTCCTTTCCACTCGATTCTAACCTCTCATTTACACCCGATTCTACTCTCTTTATTCCACCCGATTTTACTCTATCCTTTCCACCCGATTCTACCCTCTCCTTTACACCCGATTCTACTCTCTCTATTCCACCCGATTCTACCCTCACTATTCCACCCGATTCTACTCTCCCCTTTCCACCCGATTCTAACCTCTCCTTTCCACCCGATTCTACTCGCCCGATTCCACCCGATTCTACCCTGTACTTTTCAGCCTATTTTTCCCATTCTCTTTTGTAATCTCGATTCGATTTCTTCCCACATTTTCACCAGTTTGTGAAACCCGTTTCTTTAAGAGAATTTTCACCCAAACGGATATCCGAGAATCGTTGGCCACCTAGACTTGTAGTTATGGTTAACGAGCTAACATTTTTTTTGCTGCAAATTTTGTCTGCTCATCACCAGGCACCCAAACACAGTTCATTTACATTCAATGTGCGGCTTGCAGAAACAACGTTAACTGCTCTGCTTAGCTTAGTTTGAAACAAGGTCACAAGTATGGGGTACCTGGTGTGGATCGATCTCATCACTCAGTAGTAATATCCAACCAGGGCCGGTGCAAGTGTCTCGTCTACACTCCCGAATGTATGATGCATCCTGTGAATCTACGATACGTTCCCCCCCCCCCACACACACACTCTACTACATCTCAATTTTCATATTTACAAAAATACATCAATGAAAACTGATCTACAAACTGATTTCTTATAAAGAATACATATTCTATTCATACGAAGCTATCCTAATAATCTTGTCGTCATTAAATAACCCATTGAGGTTGATATGCCGTAAAAAAATAAACCAAACCTGATCTACAGACTGATTTCTTACAAAGAATAAATATTCTATTCTTACGAACCTATCCTAATAATCTTGTCGGCATTAAATAACCCTTGAGATTGATATGCCGTAAAACAAAATAAACCAAACCTGATCTACAAAATGATTTCTTTTAAAGAATACATATTCTATTCATACGAACCTATCCTAAAAATCTTGTCGGCATCAAATAACCCATTGAGATTGATATGCCGTAAAACAAAATAAACCAAACCTGATCTACAAAATGATTTCTTTTAAAAAATACATATTCTATTCATACGAAGCTATCCTAATAATCTTGTCGTCATTAAATAACCCATTGAGGTTGATATGCCGTAAAACAAAATTAACCAAACCTGATCTACAAAATGATTTCTTTTAAAGAATACATATTCTATTCATACGAACCTATCCTAAAAAATCTTGTCGGCATTAAATAACCCATTGAGATTGATATGCCGTAAAACAAAATAAACCAAACCTGATCTACAAAATGATTTCTTTTAAAAAATACATATTCTATTCATACGAACCTATCCTAATAATCTTGTCGTCATTAAATAACCCATTGAGGTTGATATGCCGTAAAACAAAATAAACCAAACCTGATCTACAAAATGATTTCTTTTAAAAAATACATATTCTATTCATACGAACCTATCCTAAAAATCTTGTCGGCATTAAATAACCCATTGAGATTGATATGCCGTAAAACAAAATAAACCAAACCTGATCTACAAAATGATTTCTTTTAAAAAATACATATTCTATTCATACGAAGCTATCCTAATAATCTTGTCGTCATTAAATAACCCATTGAGGTTGATATGCCGTAAAACAAAATTAACCAAACCTGATCTACAAAATGATTTCTTTTAAAGAATACATATTCTATTCATACGAACCTATCCTAAAAATCTTGTCGGCATTAAATAACCCATTGAGATTGATATGCCGTAAAACAAAATAAACCAAACCTGATCTACAAAATGATTTCTTTTAAAAAATACATATTCTATTCATACGAACCTATCCTAAAAATCTTGTCGGCATTAAATAACCCATTGAGATTGATATGCCGTAAAAACAAAATAAACCAAACCTGATCTACAAAATGATTTCTTTTAAAAAATACATATTCTATTCATACGAAGCTATCCTAATAATCTTGTCGTCATTAAATAACCCATTGAGATTGATATGCCGTAAAAAAAATAAACCAAACCTGATCTACAAAATGATTTCTTTTAAAGAATACATATTCTATTCATACGAACCTATCCTAAAAATCTTGTCGGCATTAAATAACCCATTGAGATTGATATGCCGTAAAACAAAATAAACCAAACCTGATCTACAAAATGATTTCTTTTAAAAAATACATATTCTATTCATACGAAGCTATCCTAATAATCTTGTCGTCATTAAATAACCCATTGAGGTTGATATGCCGTAAAACAAAATAAACCAAACCTGATCTACAAAATGATTTCTTTTAAAGAATACATATTCTATTCATACGAACCTATCCTAAAAATCTTGTCGGCATTAAATAACCCATTGAGATTGATATGCCGTAAAACAAAATAAACCAAACCTGATCTACAAAATGATTTCTTTTAAAGAATACATATTCTATTCATACGAACCTATCCTAAAAATCTTGTCGGCATTAAATAACCCATTAATGCCGTAAAACGAAATAAACCAAACCAAACCAAATTCAAGACCTTGAGTGGAACACATATATGTGGATAAAAATTTTTGTCTTTCTCTCTCTCTCTCTCTGGATCGTTGCTAAAGATGCCGGAAATATAGTCAGCTCATTTTAACGGTTCCGAAAGTACCTGCTCTATTCTGACATGCTTTGTTGTTTACAAGCGTCAGATTAGATTTTTTTAGAAATAGAGTATTGCTGCCATATCGGGGCTGGGGCTATTCATTCCCACGTAAACTATTTACCCTACAGGGGGGTAAAATAGTTCACGTGGTCTTCTGGGTGATGACTTATTTTCTCCGCAGACTCAACATCGCCAGCCTATCGCTATTTCCATGGCAAATGTTCAGATGACCGCTCCATTCTTTAGCTCCACCAGTTTAGAATTTTACAGCTATGCCACGCTGTCCTTCGTCCACGGAGTCGAATCCCCTTTATTTCCCCCGTACTTCAATTGCAAGGAGGAAGATTTTCCTCTAAAGCTGCTATTTCGTTGAAGAGGCTCCTACGTGGGTGGTTCCAATCTTAACCACTTCAAGTGATGGATCAATCATTATATACCCCACTTTATGCTTCACTTCCTTCCACTTCCTTTTTCATTCATGTCACGCATCTCATTTAGTAACCCTCTACCTTGAGTGGCTATCGAGACTTGTCTAGTAAAAAAATAAGTTAATGAGCAACATGTTTACCAGCTGACAAATGTTCAGGCTCCTTTACCATCACCTTAACATTTCGCCGCGAACTTTTGCATAAACAAACCATTTAGTAAAAGTCTTTTGCAGCGTGGGATAGACCGGTCAGGATTTGTTAAGCAAACTTTGAGAAATGGGTCGACATGGGTGTGCCATGTAGTTAGAATGTTTAGACCCGATTGAGTCAACTCGACCCCCGGACATGATAAGACGCGGTTTTAGGTGCTAATCCTAACCCACTAACTTTGTTTGCATATATGCGCCATATATGTTTCGTTTCAAAAGGCAGGCGCAGTTTGAAGCGCGGAGAGGTCTTGAGCGAAATCGCCATTTTCCACATACAGAAAAAATAGTTTTCTTCTTTCTTTTTTTTTTTTAATCATTTCATCTCAAGCAAGGTAATAGAGCCACTAAGACGCCAGAGGGTTACTGCGTGTGAATATATATATATATATATATATATATATAAGGAAAAGGAAATATTATTAAGGAGCGAGAACAATTAAAAGAACAGACATTAAAAAGACAGAAGATAACGTTTGCATTTAAATATTTTGAAACTCAAAGTTGATTGGTAAACAAGAGACTGGAAGTGAGTTAAGTGAGAAGAAACTGTTAACATAGAACTTACGGTTGCCTTTTTAGCTATTAATTTGACGGAATTTGGCGTTTGATGAAAAGATTTATTGCCAAAGGAAATTCAAGTCTCTTTTTATCTCTTTCTCTCTCTCTCTCTCTCTTTCTATCTACATATATATATATATATATATATATGTGTGTGTGTGTGTGTGTGTGTGTGTGTGTGTGTGTGTGTGTGTGTATGTTTGTGGCGCCCTCTCACTCTTCTTCCCTTTCCTCCCTCTCTCTTTTGTTCTCTTTCTCCTTCGCTTACTCGCTCTCTATTTTCTCTTCGTCTTTCCTCCTCCCCACACACTCTCCTCTCATTCTCTCTCTCTCTCTCTCTCTCTTTAATTTGATTTTTTTAATCATTTATTCTCAATCAAGGCAATAGAGCCACTAAGACTCCGGGGGGGGGGGGTACTGCATGTGAGTATATATAAGAAAAAGGAAATATTACTAAGGAACGAGAACAATAAAAAGAACATAGAGACATAAAGACAGAAGATAACGCGTAAAAGAAGAAAAAAGAGCTTGAGTAAATGAATGGCGGAACAGAGTTTAGGAAAAATAACAAAAAAGACAAAATTTATTAAGATCTACAAAAGTCGGGAAGTTGTGGAGAGCTGTGATCGCTTACATCGTCAAGAGACGCATAAAAGAAGAAAGAAAAAAGACAAAATTTATTAAGATCTACAAAAGTCGGGAAGTTGTGGAGAGCCGTGTCGCTTACATCGTCAAGGGACGCATAAAAGAAGAAAGAAAAAAGACAAAATTTATTAAGATCTACAAAAGTCGGGAAGTTGTGGAGAGCCGTGATCGCTTACATCGTCAAGGGACGCATAAAAGAAGAAAGAAAAAAGACAAAATTTATTAAGATTTACAAAAGTCGGGAAGTTGTGGAGAGCCGTGATCGCTTACATCGTCAAGGGGACGCATAAAAAGAAGAAAGAAAAAAGACAAAATTTATTAAGATTTACAAAAGTCGGGAAGTTGTGGAGAGCCGTGATCGCTTACATCGTCAAGGGACGCATAAAAGAAGAAAGAAAAAAGACAAAATTTATTAAGATCTACAAAAGTCGGGAAGTTGTGGAGAGCCGTGATCGTTTACATCGTCAAGGGACGCATAAAAGAAGAAGAAAAAAAGATCTTGAGTAAATGGATAGTGAAACAGCGTTTAGGAGAGATAACAAAAAAAATTATTAAGGGCTATAAAGGAAAGGAAATTATGGAGTGCCATGATCGGCAACGTCCTGAAGAGACATGGCTCATAGAAGAAGAAGAAGAAGAAGAAGAAGAAGAAGAAGAAGAAGAAGAAGAAGAAGAAGAAGGGTTTAAATTCACAAGCGTATTCATATTCCCAACAAGTCCGATTTAGAATTTGTAAAGCTTAAGAAAAAAACAAACAATAAAGAAGAAAAAGGAAAGCGAAAAAAGAATAAAGAAAAAGAAAGGGAAATAGAAAGACGATGAAACGACAACGAAGAAAGAAAAAAAGAAAGAAAGAAGAAACGGTAGAAGAAGTAAGAAGAACGAGGAATAAAAAGGGAAAATGAAAATGGTAAAAAAAAGAAGAAGTAGAGGAAAGGGAAAGAAGACGAAACAACAACGAAGAAAGAAAGAAAGAAAGAAAGAAAGAAAGAAAGAAAGAAATAGTGGAAAAAGCAGAAGAACCAACAAAGAATAAAAAGGGAAAATCAAAGTAATAAAGAAGAAAGAAAAAGAAGGGAAGGAAAAAAGGAAACGACAAGAAAGAAAGAAAGAAAGAAAGAAAGAAAGAAAGAAAGAAAGAAAGAAATGGTAGAAGAAGAAGAACCTTGAGTAAATGGATAACAGGACAGGGCTTAGGAGAGATAGCAAAAAAAGAAAATTATTAAGCTCTACAAAAGTCGGGAAGTTGTGGAGAGCCGTGATCGCTTACATCGTCAAGAGACACAGCACATAAAAGAAGAAGCTAAAAAGATCTTGAGTAAATGGATGGCGGAACAGAATTTAGGAGAGATAACAAAAAAATTATTAAGGGCTATAAAGGACAGGAAATTATGGAGAGCCATGATCGGCAACGTCCTGAAGAGACACGGCCCATAGAAAAAGAAGAAGAAGAAGTGGAAGAAGAAGAAGAAGAAGAAGAAGAAGAAGAAGAGGAACAACGAAGAATTGAAATGGAAGATGAAAGCCATAAAAAAGAAATGGAAGAGAGGAAGGAATAGAGAGAAATAGAGAGTGTGAGAGCGAGAGAAGACAGGGTGAGAGAAGAGAGGAGGAAAGAGAGGAAGGAATAGAGAGAAATAGAGAGTGGAAGAGAGAAATAGA